GAATGCCACTTAACTTTGAGTCTAAGGGAGCAAGACTTGGGGGTGAGAATCATTATGATGCCTTCTCCTGGGGATTACAGGTTTAAATTTGTGACCTTTCAGTTCGGATTGAAAAACAAGTGGATGCCATTCTAAGCCACCCGTAGAGTTGACAGCACTGATGCCCTTCTAGCTCTGAGGCATTTACACATTTATGCGTTAGAGTATACTCCCTACCAAACCTGCCTCTCCCAGAGCCAGTGTTCAGGAACAGGATAGTTTAGAAGAGGATGGGCAAAGTCCCCTCCCATTGATGGCACGTTTGGTTTGTTTTCAGACCTTTCTAGGTTGCCTTTATACACTAAACTGAATGCATCATGCACTGTCTGCTTGAATTTGGCGTTTTTGAGGCATCATTATGGTGAACTTAGCATTTCTTTTTCCGTTACTGTGTTTTTCATCTATACAAATTCCTTAGTCTGTTAAGCTGTGATTCCACCAAGCAGATTGGAACTGGCCATATAAGTAAAAATTAAAGTATGCATTTAGACAACCTTGCTTTTGAGCAGCCACTACTTTCTCCTCCCACTTTCCAAATTCCCTCCAAAGAGCTTTCAGGCCCCACCTACCCTTGGTCATCACCTCTTCTCCCTGTGTTTTCTGTTTAACAAATTCTCCTCTCTACACCTGTGTCCCAGACCTCACACGTTAGTGTATAAAGAATTTAAGTGAATGGGGCCCGGAGGTGGCGTGGTAGTTAAAGGTGCTAGACTCCCATCATGGCCGACCTTGGTTCAAGTTCAGAACTGGCAGCTTCTTTATTGTTTTCCTTTTCTTTCTCTCTCTCTGGTCAAATTTTTAAAAAGGAAAATAAATAATAATAAGAACCAATAGAATTAATTAAATAATTATTTTTTTAAAAAATAAAAGAATTTAAGTGGAGTGAACCAAAAGGGACATGGTGATTGTTCTTTATTTATTTATGTTGGAGAGGTTTTTGCCAAAGGGCGCATGCGCTTGCCAGAAAGAGAGAGACAGAGAGACAGAAAACAAGAAATCACCCGCCAGGGCAGATGGCCACGCCACAATCCCTTCTCTGCTGGCCCCCATGATGATTGTTCTTAAAAACCAGAAAGTCTGTTTGTGGAGAGATGCTGTAGTAACAATTGCCACATCCCGTTCAGGCCACTTGCACCTTGAGGTATTCAGGTTGTTGCATTCCAGCCTCTCATTTTAGTGCATTTCCTACATGGTCACAGTCTGGGCAAGGGTGGGAGAAATTGGAAGGTAGAATAAAGAGCACTTAGCCAGCTAGTATTTTCCTTTTTTTTTTTTTTTTTTTTTTTGCCAGTTTCTTTTCCATATCTCTCTCCTTGTGGGATTTTGAATACACATGCACATGTGTGCCATTCAAGCTGCTGGGTCCAGGATTCAAATCACATAGTCGGCCATGGGGGTTCCTGCTTCTTGGAGCTATTTGCAGGTCTTGTGTATTACGTTTTGCTGTGATATTTCTTCTTAGGCTTTGGTGTTTCTCCTGTTTATGCTGTGGGGTCCTTTAGAGTATGTAGACCTGATATTCATTATCACATTTCATCTATAGGCAAATCTGAAGCAAGGAAGAGACATCACAGACAGATTTGTCTTGGACAGTCCTCATAAAGATAGCATACCATTCACATATTTAGCAACTTGCAAGACTAACATTAAGTAGACACACTGCTTTTGCTTGAGTTTGAGACTGAAATCTTGATGACTGAATAAGGTGTGTGTGTGCAGGCAGGAGTAGAAGTATGAACAGTCAGATGAACCTTTAACTGAAGGACTTTGTAACTTTTTGAGATGAGGGTGAAAACTTTGGCCCTCGCTGTAAATCACATTTTGATGGAGGTGATATTCTTTTCTTGTCTCTCTAAACTTGTAATAGAATAAATAGATTGATCATGAAAATGGTCTGAGTTCTTCCCCTCTTTGAATCTATTCTCTTGTATTATGGTTTGGATAATGATTTACCTCCCCCATCAAGGTTCCAGATTTTGAAATTTGGTGCCCAATGTAATAGCACTGGAAGATGGTAATAGCTGAGGTCTAGTGGGTGATGAGCAGGGGTGTTACTCTCATGAACGGAGTAATAATGTCTTGTAGGACCAAGTGGTTTCTAGCTCTCATGAGAAGTTTGCACAAAAACTGATAGTTATAAAAGGAAGATGGCTGCCTCCATACCTCTCTCCCTCTGCATGTGTCCCCCATCCTCTCTGCTTCTGTTAGCTGTGTTGTGATGATAACCCATGCCTGTGGACTTTCTAACCACTAGAATTGTGAGTCAAATAAGCCTCTATATTTCTGATAAATCACCCAGTCACAGATATTTTTTGTAAGAACATAATAATAGACTTAAGACCCCTTGCAATATGATTTTGTGGCTCCTTTTAATTGAAAGTAGATTCTAGGACCAGCAGTTAGTGTAATGGCTATGTCGCTGGACTCCCATGTTGTCGACCGCGGTTTGAGTCCTGGACCCGGTGGCTTAAACTCACGCTGGGCGCATGTGCGTGCGTGGCTGGGATCCCAAGAGGAGAACAGAGGAGAGGGGATTGCGGCATGGCCATCCCCCTGGGGGATGATTTCTCGCTTTCTTTCTCTCTGTTTCTCTCTGTCTTTCTGGCGAGTGCACGTGCCCTATAGCAAAAACCTCTCCGAAAAAAGAAAAAAAAAAAAAGTAGATTCTGTACCCTGAGCCCCCAAATCTGGGCTTGGCCTTATTACTTATTGTCACACATAGAATGCACAGAAGTAAAGAATCTGGGGTGCCATTTTCAAGCCTAAGTCTTGTTTTGTTTGTTTGTTTTTGCTATAGGGACATGTGCTTGCCAGACAGAGAGGGAAAGTGATAAATCAGCTCTAAGGGGATGGCCACACCACAATCCCTTCTCCTTCATTCTCCTCTAGGGATTTTAGGCACACATGCACAAGCACCTGGTGTGATTTTTCAAGCTGCCAGGTCTGGGACTAGAACCACAATGTCAGCCAGGTGGTATCCAGCTACCTTAACCTCTAAACCACCTGCTGGCCCTCAAGCCTATGTTTTAAGAGGCCACATTTTTCT